GAAAAAAAAAAATGATGTTCATAAATGCTCATAGGGAGACTATCAGGACTTACACACTGCTTATTGACATTGTAATAGTCATACTTACAGGGCTTTGCTGTGCACACAAATTGGGCATGCTTTTAAAGCCAGAAATAATTTACTGCATAATGTCTGCTAGTAAATTTGAGCATATGATGATCTCAAATGTGTCTTATCAGAAAGCAAACCATTCAGCTGCAAGAACTGTGTGGTATCTATAAATAAAGGCTCCCACCTTTGCATCAAGATGAATCTCCATGATAATTCCTTCCCTCTGGCTTCTCTCCCGCTGTGAGTGGAGCGCCTTCTGGGAAGAAGGGTAGAAGGGTGGCTTTAGTTCTCCAAGATTCACAACCACAGGCCACACTGAATGGAGTGTTCACACAACTGAGCTTTTCTACCTATCCAGAGATACTTGCTTTTTGTTTTGTTTTTAAGTTCTGCACTCTCTGGAGCTGACAGTGGGACCTTTTTGCTGCTTTTTGGACTTTTGCTTTCTTTCTTCAGTAGTTTCAACCTGTAAAAATTGACTTGACTATTAGGTTTGATCCAAAAAGGGGCTGGGCGCAGTGGCTCATGCCTGTAATCCCTCCCAGCACTTTCAGAGGCCGAGGCAGGCGAATCACGAGGTCAGGAGTTCGAGACCAGTCTGACCAACATGGTGAAACCCCGTCTCTACTAAGAATAAAAAAAATTAGCTGGGCATGCTGGGTGGCATGCGCCTGTAATCCCAGCTACTCAGGAGGCTAAGGCAGGAGAATCGCCTGAATCCAGGAGGCGGAGGTTGCAGTGAGCTGAGATCACGCCACTGCACTCCAGCCTGGTCAACAGAGTGAGACTCTGACTCAAAATAATAAAATAAAAAATAAAAATATTAAAAGGTTTCATTGGACAGAAGTTTCTCTTTACAGGAACATTGAAGTGTGTTTTCCCCCTTTTATGTCTCTAGAATATTTTGCCTACTTTGGTAATCTTCCATTCTGGTTATTTGGATTTACCTGCCAGGAAGTCAGAAGGGCTAGTATTTTGCAAACCACTTAAAACCTCCATTGAAATGGCATCCAGTCAAGAACATTCTGTCTTGAAACTGGCAGCCCCAACTCTACCTCCAGCTCACAGCGTGACGCTGGAGTCTCCTTTTTCTGAGTTTCATTTTCCTTTTCAGGAAAAGGCTGAGACCAGATTCATCCTCCATTTCCAGCCCTCCACAGGACATTTTGTCAGATGGCAAATCAGGAAGGGGAGATGTCATGGATGGCAATGAACAGCGGCTCTGCACTGCGTCGGTCACAGTAAAAGCATGCCACTTCACCTCTGGAGAGGGACTTCCTGCGGCTCTTTAAAAACCTGGGATACTGTTTTGTGGCCTTTCAGGAGCCTCAATGTTATTACAAAATACATGAATATCTAGATTGTTTCTTCCTTCGGCAGTAACATATCTGGTGCTTGTAGCACACTTTCAATTTATAAAGAATTTTCTGAGTTGGTATCTTGTTTAATCAAATGCTAACACTACTGTCACTTAAGGAAGGTGTATAGAAAAGACACCTGCACGCCTGCCCGAAAGATCTTAGAAATACCACTGAAAATTTTCAGCAGGCATGCAGGTAGGCTGGTAGACATCATCCATCCATCCATCCATCCATCCATCCATCCATCCTTCCTTCCATCCATCCTTCTTTCTATCCATCCATCCGTCCATCCATCCATCCATCCATCCTTCTTTCCATCCATCCATCTATCCATCCATCCATCCATCCATCCATCCATCCATCCTTCCATCCATCCATCCTTCCATCCATCCATCCTTGTTTCTATCCATCCATCCGTCCATCCATCCATCCATCCATCCATCCATCCTTCTTTCCATCCATCCATCCATCCATCCATCCATCCATCCATCCATCCATCCCTTTGTTCCCTGACATAGGGAACTCGTTCTCTAACACGAAGGTATACAGGACATTTGATGTTATATACCTTTTTCTTCTTTTTTAAAAATTTGTTTTAGAAGCTTACATTTAATAAATTTTACTATTTTTTGTGGACAGTCTATGAGTTTCAGTGAGTGCCTGGAGCTCTTGTATCCACTGCCACAAGTTAGAGGACAGTTCCATCAATCCACCTGCCTTCAAAAAAATTTCTGTCTAGTTACCTCTTTGTAATCAAACACTTGCTCCACTCTTAACTTTTGGCAATCACTAATCTCATCTCTGTTCTTATAATTTTGCCTTTTCCAGAATGTCATTATCAAGGAAATCGCATAGTGTGTGGCTGAGTCTGGTTTCTTTCACTTAACGTAATGCATGTAAGATTCACTTGCAATGTTGCATGTAATGATGGCTTACTCTCCTTTATTGCTGAGTTGTCATTTATTGTATTGTGCCATAGTTTATTTACATTTTTAATTCATTCCCCAGTTGAGGGACCTTTGGGTTGTTTCCAGGTTTTGATGATTATGAATAAGGCAGCAATAAACATTCACTTTTTTTTTTTGTACAAACGTAGGTTTTTCATTACATTTCGATAAATACCCAGAAGAGGAATAACTAGATCATATTGTAAGTGTATGTTTAAAAGAAACTGTGAAACAGTTTTCCCAAGTGACTGTACTATTTTGCACTCTAGCCAGCAATGTGTAAGAGTTCCAGTTACGGGCCGGGCGCGGTGGCTCAAGCCTGTAATCCCAGCACTTTGGGAGGCTGAGGTGGGTGGATCACGAGGTCAAGAGATCGAGACCATCCTGGTCAACATGGTGAAACCCCGTCTCTACTAAAAA